CTGGGCTTACCCCAGAGACTCAGTCAAGTTCACTTCTGGCAAAAAGGTTTGCCTCCGACTCGGAGGAAAATCTCGTTGGCTGTCCCACCCAAAATCCTTTAGAGCAAGGAACATGGAAAGACACGCGTGTCTTTCCCCCCACCCCTCAGCAATGCAACCTCACTACTTCCACACCGTTGGATGCCTTTGGAAACCTTCATCACCATCTTGCCAAAGACGTTGAACATCATTTTGAGCTGTCTGAAAAAGAAGGGCTAGCAAGACCTCGCAGTCCACAGTGCCCCAAGGAGCTGGCAACTTCTGCCCTGGAGATGGAACACCCCCAAAACTTGCAAATGAACAATTGTACTCTTTCCTGTGGGCCACCGTTGGATCGACAAGACATTGGTGGTGGGTTGCCAGAAAGCCCTTGTGCTGAGCTGTTGTGCCCTCTTTATAAAGGAAACAAGGAATGTGCCATCACAGACATGATTATTAATTCTCAGTCAGGGCCTCTGCAGGGCATCCTTGCTTGTCAGCCCACCCCCGAAACCAAAGATCACTCAATGCAGCTCACGAGTCTTCCGCCCGTTGCAGAAAGAGAGGTGGAGGTAAACGGACAACATGAAAGCGAGCTCGAAAAGTGCCATTATCATGGAAAGAAACATCAAAATGAGCCAGAGGCCTTATGCAATACTTGTGGCGCTCAGCAGATCCCGACTGCTGTAAATACTGCCTTGGCAAGGATAGCAGATTCTGGTCATGTTGATCAAGAAGTCCACCAGTTCACAGAGGGGCCAGAGATGAGAGCTGGTTACCCCTCCAAAAATGTGGCTAATAGAGAAAATCGTTCAAAAGGAGATGACTCGGCAGGCCATGGAGGTGAGAGTCCAGGAGGAGATAGCAGTTGTGTGCTAACTAACAAAGAGCAAGAAGAAGAGTGTGGCATGTTTAAAAGTATCCCAAATGCAGCCAGAAACAGACATCCGAAAGAAAAGAAGCCAAATGGCCTCCAAGTCACTTGTGATATCTGCTCAGCGTCTTTTAGATCCAAACCAGGATTAACCAGGCACAAAGCTGTCAAGCATCCGCTGAAGAACGACGGCCCATGGCTGCCCAGCAAAACTTCCAAGTTCAGTTTGAATCTGCTGGAGAAAACATCGAAGATGTCCAAGAAAGTCGCTAGGAAAGGCAGAAAGGCTACTGCCAAAAAGAGAGTGCATAACTCATTAACACCACCCAGTCCTGTGGGACACCTCTCCAAGAACACCTGTGCTGGTCAAGAAAAGGAGCCCCATGCACAAATGCAAGAAGTAGTGAGTAGAGTCCTCAGTGACCTCAGCGTCATCTCGCTTGAAATGTCTCACAAGGGTCCTCACACAGATATGCTGAGTAAAGAAACAAAGACAAAGCCCCATAGTTCAGTGTCAGAGGGACTGGAGGAATCGGTGACAGAAAAGTCCAGTCCTAGAAAGCAAGCACATAAAGAGGAAAAAAGCAGAATACGCCAAAGCAAAGAGCCTGGGGGATTCAACAGAAATATAGAGAAGAAACTCAGTAGAAAAGCAAGAAGAAGGAAAGTGTTTCCTAATGGAAGTGAAGTCAATGGGTTGTCTGGTCTTGAGAAGGATGATACTGATGGTCCTTCCCATGCAGTTGCCAGAAGAATCAACTCCGGTCTGTCAAATGTGATGGAAGAGCTGGCTGAGCCGGACTGCTGCATCTCAGCAGAGGAACAAGACGGGCCATGCTCACGCCAACAGTGTCCCCCAGCAAAGCAGTCACCTTGCAGAGCTAAGCATGCAGATGAAGTGGGTGATTGGGTGCTCTCCTCCAAAGAGACAGACAGGCAAGAGTCACTAACGGCCCCCGTAAGTCAAGGCAAAGAGGCAGAGGCCAAAGAGAAATGGGCAAGTGGGTTCCTGAAGCAAGTGGAGAAGGAGTTGATCAAGGTCGGAAAAGAACAGCAGGATGATCGTGATTGCACAAACGCGAAGGAACGTGAGAGAGAAGAGAGCAATCCTGGGAAGGAACGTAGCACCTTCCGGGGTCCCTTGAGTCCTGCCCCACCAAACCGGTCTGTAGAAACCTGCGATTCTGAAGCGGCCCACGAGGATCCCATTGAAGCCATGCTGGAAAATGCTTCTGAAAACAGCCCTTGCTCTGCAGAGTCAAAGCACTGGGGGAAGGGAGCATTGCAGCAGAGAAAGGAGACCCACTCTGGGGATGTGGCTGCGTCAGACCTGCAGAGTTTCATTGATGATGACCTCACATTCTCACAGCTGTTTCCACGGGACAGCCAGTTCACCCGCAGGAAGTGCACACGTGTGTACGGGAAACGGACCAAGAAACCCAGACCTGCCACGGACGCAAATGTCATGCCTGGGGGCGCCCTAGACTTCATTCCCATTCGCCTGGCTTCTGACCTCAGTGAAACTAGCTCTTTCTGTGTCACCAGGGATGATCCTTGTGAGTATGAAACCATCTCTATCGATGATGCCTTGATGCTAAATATGTGCCACAGTGGAAAGCCAAAGGGATGTGAAGCCAACTCTGACACTTCCAAAGATATTGCACTGCCGCCAGATTATGAGGAAACCAACCAAAGAAAGGAGGTCATTGATCTGGAGGAAGAGGACAACATGTTAACCTTCCTGTGCCACAACAACCAGATGGAAAACATTCCGAACTTGAACATTTGGGGAAGTCTTGAAAAGGAAGTAGGAAACATTCCGGCTGATGAAATGCTGTTCAAGCCCCCTCCCGAGCTTGAAAGTGAATATTCAATAGTGGAAACTAGCCCAGAGCCTCCAGAGCTAGAAGAGGAACCCTTCGGTCACAAGTTAAACAAGGAGCAAGGTTCACCCGAGTGTCATACGATCGACATCGATTTGTTGAATGCCAAGTTCAAGATGCGGGACGTGCGCTTTTTCAGCCCTTGCAAAGACACTCCTGGCCCTTTGGACGAAAGCGTGGTGAGTTTCAAGCAGAAGTCAAGCCAGCATAACAAACACGGCAAAAATAAGCTAGAAGATGGAAAACTGGGCAAAAACCGCGGTGATATGAACATCAAGACTAAAGATAAACAATACAAATGCAAAGTGTGTTTCCAGTGGTTTCTCACCTTAGGGGAACTGGACTTTCACAAACTCACCCATAACCCTTCCCCTCCGCCGACCTGCTATATGTGTGTCCAGCGCAAATTCAGCTCAAGGGAGCAGTTGAGGGACCATTTAAAGGAGAAGCATGCAAAAAACAAAGCGGGCCTGTGGGCCTGCGGCATGTGCCTCAAGGAGATTTCTGACGTCTGGATGTACAACGAGCACCTTCGAGAGCACGCCACACAGTTCGCTCGGAAGGGCCAGGCTCAGAAGTCTGTGCTGGGTCTGCCCTCCTGCTTTGGCGAGGACAGCGCTGCCGTCACCCACTTCCTGAACACCATCATGTATCGGAAGCCCAGCAAGTCCTCCAGGCTGGTGGAGTCCACCAGCAAACACGTGGCCAGCAAAGAGAACAAGAGCCTAAAAGAGCCAGCCCCTGACCCAGAGGTGAAGGTAACGAAAGACGTATTGGAAGGCGGCATCAGGATGAAACCGGCTTCCAGCTCTTCCAAAAGGTCTGCCAGTCCATCTTCAGACAACACGCCGAAAGGCGACAGCGTACCGAAAGCTGTCCCCATGCATCCAGATTGCAAGGACCCTTCCCGAGATTGCCACCACTGCGGGAAACAATTTCCCAAGCCCTTCAAGCTCCAGCGCCACTTAGTGGTGCACAGCTTGCAGAAGATTTACTTGTGCCACAAGTGTCCCATGTTCTACCCGGACACCAAGGAGCTGCGGAGCCACCTGAGTCAAGACCACGGGATAGTGGAGGAGGTGGAGATCAAGCACACCACCCTCTATGCGTGCGAGCTCTGCGCAGACGTCATGCACGTCATCAAGAAGTCCTTCATCTGCAGCATGTGTAACTACACCTTCTCCAAGAAAGAACAGTACGACCGGCACATGGAGAAGCACCTCGCAGGCAGCAGCAGGACTTTCAAATTCAGAGGTGTCCTGCGGCCAGGTATGTCCTCCAAAGATGGCAGTGAGAAAATCAAAGAGGAACACTATCCTCAGGAGGGCGGGCCAGCCCCTCGCAAAAAAAGGAAGATCATGCACCACGGCAGCTTGGAACCACACCGCTCCCCTGTGCACCTTAGCTGCCGGAATGACCTACAGCTGGATGATCCGCCTGTACCACCTCCCAGCGAGTCCTGCCCTGGAAAAGCTGGTGACCCTGGAGCGACGTTGCCCCAAACCTCTGAGAAAACAGAAGATCTTGTGGGTGACTTCTCTGACCTCCTGGCTGAAATGGAAAAATCTCCGTTCAGTGCCCTCCCGCCACCTCCTTGCCTGTCTCCTTCTCTGCCCCAGGCTGTCGTGAGTGATCCAGAGCTCAGTCACACCCTGCCACTTTCCCCTGAAGAACAAGACAAAGGATCCTTTGATGGGAAGCCTCTTCCTTTCCTGGACTCTTCTGAATTTGGCATGGACCTGAATAGCTTAGCAATGGATGAGACACGATCTCCCCCTCATCTCACTGAGAAACACGGCCAGGCAGACGGCCAAGGGAAAACAACCGTCAGCAATCAAAGGGAACATGTGGTGGGGATATTGGACCAACCCAGTTCACAAGAAGAGCCTGTTGACAAGATCTCTTCCCTCAAACCAGCTAAAGCAATCCCAGAAATGTTTGCCCTCAAAGTAGATGCTCCCCAGGCCAAGGACACTCCTAAAACATGGTGGAGCAGCCCGCATGGCGAGGAGACAGCTCCTAGGGACATGGCATTCAAGTCCCAATATTCAGAGCCCACCTACCCCTCTCTGCCGCTGAAGGACAAAACAGCATCCCCTGTTCTCAACAGGGCTGCCAAAGATTCTGCCTCTCTGAAGAAAATGGCATGCAATCCAGTGAGTGGTGACGTTGCCGTGGCCACAATGGGTAATCTGGGCAGGACAGAGACCCCCAAACCCTGCTCGCTCAAAGAAAAAGCTGTGCCTGAGATGGGTGTCTGCGCCAAAGACAGCAATGCCAATGCCAGCGTCAGAGAAACAGGCGCCAATAAACCCGTAAATCACCTCAAAGCTGAAGGAGCAGCCAACCCTGTAAAACATGGCCACGCGGATCCAGGTAAATCTTTGGACAAGCCGGCTCCTCACGGGCCCAGCAAGCTGCACCCGAAGAAGCGAAAAGAGCACAAGTCTTCAAGTCACAAAGGCTGCTCGGCCTCCCGGGAGAACATGGAGGGGGACGGAAAGAAGAAGAAAGCCCGAACGCCGGGCCCTGGCAAGAGCGATGGGGCGGGAGAGTTCAAAAGGGCAGACTGGACCCACAACGAGGCTTCAGCCCTTTCACCCGGAAAGAGGGACACGCACTCCAACAAACTGATCCCCAAGTCCAGAACGGCAGGCGTGGGCAACCAGCTGAAAAAGATGGCCCTGGACACCTACAAGCAGAAGAAGGTGACCAACCATCCTTCCAATGGAGATCTGAAGCGGAAAAAGGACATCCTGGGGAAAACCTTCCACCATCTCCTGGCCAAAAGCCCCACTGCCTCCCTGCATGGTTCTTTACACAGGAACAGAGCTGTCCAAGGTGCTAAACCTGCTGACTCGCACAATTACAGGACAGCCGAATCCCAGAACAATCTGCTAAGCCAACTGTTTGGACAGAAATTAACGAGCTTTAAAATTCCTTTAAGAAGAGATACTTCCGAGTAATTTATGAAAGTGACTTATAGTGATCCTCGGCTGCTTTCAAGGGGTTTGCAAGGGAAAAAATTATCAAAGCATTACATTCGTTTGTGTAGCATGATTTTTTTTTCTGTCTCGTTTAAATGAACTTGCACTGCAGCCTCTGTGAAATAGTTTGCTTTGTGTCTACTAATCTACTTTAATTCACCTGATTTATCATGCAAATGCTAGAACTTTGATGTGGCTGATGATTTTCATGAACTGAAATTGTAATCGCTTTGGGCAGACTGAATCCGTCAAGAGCAATTGCTTTATTGCAGAAGTGCTGAGGTTATAAGGAGACTTGCAAATCTCAGACCCTTTTGAGACTGCTTCTCTGTTATCTTTGTACAAAGTACTTGAAGAGATGAACTTCATTCCACAGACGTCTTGTTCAGAAGGTGCAGTACACTGTAGAAAGCAATTTTTTTAAAAGATTTTTGCACAAATAACCCTATACAATTCGTTCATTTGGGAGCTGGCCTACAATGTGATAAATTAACAACAAAATTAAATTAAGAATCCAGTGCCACATATTGTGACAGACATTCCTAAGAATTTGTTTCTACGTTGCTAAGAAAATAATGAACTCACTTGCATGCTGCGTGGGCCTATTAGAGTATTTCAAACACCAATGCCATTATTTGACCACTGTAGATTATGTACATACATGAAAAATGAGAATAACGCTAGCGAACTGCACCTGGACATTTGTGACTTCTTTTGTTTCACGGATAAAACTGTGCCAACTTACCAGACCAGAATAGTACTGTCCAAGTGACCGTAATGGTATAACTTCTAAACTATCTTACTGTATTGACTTCGTAGCTATATAGGTATCAGCTTTTTACTATGCAGTTACTGGTGCTATTTTTATTTTGTAATGTGAATACAGACTTCCTTGATTTAAAAAATAAAAGGGAACAAATAGGAAGTAGCAGTGACCTGTAAAAGAAATCAAAGCAGGAAAATAAAACTTTTTAAAACATCCTGAATGCTGGTACTCCATAGTGGTAAAAAAAGGTTATGTCATGTTATCAAGTAGGTATACAACTGAACTTTGAACCAGAAAGAAATCTCAGGTGCAAATGAGGACACGGAAGATACTTAAATACTATTGAAATACTCCCAGGTCAAGGAGGTGAAGTTATGCACTGATGTGATATGAACAAATAGAGTACTTTGCGTCTATCCTGCAAAAAAAAAATTTTTTTTAGTTTTAAAAGGAAAAAAAGAGGCTTTATCCTGTTAATATGTATCTTTACAGTCCTTTGTATTGTATAAAAAAACTATTTAGGTAATTTACCTTGGGTGCAATGTGTTATGTCAAAAGTTTTTATTTTGATATTTTGTCAAGAGAGCAAAGCGAGAGCGGGAAATGCCTTTTTATTATGTCGTTATGTGTGCTATTAAAGTGCCTCTTTAATATTGTTAAATAAAGTATGAGATGAAAATATGGGGTGGTACTGTAAAACCATACCTAATTCATCTTTTCAAATATATTCCAATATTTTCACAGAAACTCCCAGGCTCTGTGGAATTTGTCAGATGTTTTGCTGTCTTAGTTCTTCGATCCCATACCGCAGAAACACACCCACGCCTCACATTTGCTGGGAGTTGGAGGCTGTGCATTACTCTCTGTGCATGTACATGGATAGATACACACACAATAAGATCTGGTATGCTCACAGCCACTATAATAATAAATAAATAACTTGCCAGGTTTGGTGACATCTATCTATCTAAGGTGCTTAGCTGGCCCCATTACCACAATATCTGTCCTCACAGCACCACATGGTAATATGCTGGTAGAGCCGCCATCTGGCTTTAACTGATTTTGAAATGAAGGTGTGGAGAGATGAGGGACTTGGCTAAGAACAGGAGGCATTGTAGGGTGGAGCATGGAATTGAGGCTCTAAGGAAATCAGGACTTAAAGTAGCTAAGAGGTCCTGAGAAGCAGGTGGGGAGAATGCGGAGGGGGGCAGTCCTCCGGAGGAGCCCATCACTGATTGGCTGGAGGCTAGTGAGGGCGGGGTTAAAAGGTTATACAACTTTAAAAGAGTCAGTGTCGCATGGGAGCTTGACTAGGCCGGAGGCCTGTGTGACATGCTCCAGGCAAGAAGCCGAGTTCAGAGAGATGCTGGCTGTAGCTGTCAAAGATGGAGGTCAGTTAAAAAGCTGCCTTGGGTTGAAGCCTGCTCCAATGACTTGGTTAACCCAGGAGGCGAACATAGGCAAAGTCTTGCTGGGAAAACTTGATTTTTAGACAGAGCCCTCTACCCGCCTGAACTAGATTTCCTCTACTTGGACAAGGGCTTGGTCTAGTTCTGAGAGGGAGGGTTGCTTTAGCTGGCAGCTATATTATCCTAAAGGGATTACCGAAATTATTGCTAAAACATCTCGGGGATGGGGGCATGTTAGTCTGTAATTTTAAAAATAATGAATAGTCCTGGGGCACCTTAGAGATTAACCGAAATATACAGACTCGTGAGCGCTCGTGGGTAAAACCCACTTCCTCAGATGAACTGGAGTGGAAATCAAAGAAACCGAGAGAGAGAGAGAGAACAGCAGAAGCAGCATCTGTCAATGGTAAGTCACATGTTAAAGAGGCTAATTTAGTGGGCTGGGTGTGTCCCATATATAGCTTTGATGTGGCAAAGCAGGTGTTAAAGGTGAAAGAAATTGGCTTTGTAATGTGCCAATCGCTTAATGTCTTTGTTCAAGCCCAGAGTAACAGTGTTAAATCTGTAGATGAATTCCAGTTCTGCAGATTCTGTCTGTATTTGGATAGTGAGATTACTTTGTAGAAGGATAGCTACTTTGAAATCCATGAACAAGCGCCCAGGCAGGTTAAAATGCTCCCCAATGGGTTTGTGTGTTAGATTTCTGATGTCTGGTTTGTATCCATTTATCCTTGGTTGTAGAAGCTGTCCGGTTTGGCCAATACACATAGCAGAGAGGCAGTGCTACCACTAAATTATTTCTGTTTTATAGGACTTAAAAGAAAGACTATTTTGTCCTATGTTTTTAATGATCCTGGGTCTTTTTTGTTCCCGGATTTCTTCACCTCCGTGGGACTTGAGAATACAGCCCACAGTATACATGCGCTAAATCACTGTGCAACATGGCCCAATTTATCTCGGTAGGTTTATATACTCCCCACCTCCACTCATGAGCATGGTACCGGAACAGATCAAAGGTTCATCTATTGGGTATCTTATTTCCTGCAATGGCAGCGGCTTCAGGAAAAATCCCCCATCATGCACCTGGGTCTGAAATACCAGAAGGGGCACAAGAAAATGTCTGCCTGAGCCACAGCTAATGTCCTGAAACATGAGGGTTTTGACTGTCCTTGTCGTTTTCGCAGGTGGCCAGACTGGGCTAGAGCAGAGAGGTGAGAGAACTTTTGGCTCACTTATTCTATCACTGTCGCACTCTGAAATGCAGCAAGAGGAGAATACGTTCCCACAGGTCACCCAGCTGCACTGGAATCTCGTGAGATGACGTGATCGTCTCAGGCCAGTTTTACAGACCCAGTGAGTTGGAATAAGCAGCAGCTAAACTTCTGTGGGCTTATCTCAAATAAAAACGAGCCTTCCGAGGTTTACCCCTCGCTAGCCGTTGTATCCCTGATGGTGTCATTGGGTGGGATGTAGACATATGCTTAATCATTTTCCTCCCCAGTATCCTGCAACCGTGAATTCCACAGATGAGTCCTATATTAGGTAACAAAATACCGAATATACAATATGCCTTTTACAATTCTATCTTGTTCTTCTGTTATGGGACGGGGATGGCCTGATTTTTCTGGTGCGGTGAGCAATGACCTCACACGTATCTCTCAGTGAAAGAAATAAAGACACAAGAGGTCTAGAACTGTGCACACCAGCTCTGTCCATTGAAAAAGAACCGTGCGAACCCCAGCGAGGAGAACAGAACAGCACCACCGGGACAGGAGCCTATCTCTTTTCAGGGGAGCTGGGATTTCAATATCTCCCACTCTCCCACACCCCAGTTGTTCCTGGGCTGGGAGACATCACGCAACGACACCACAAAACAGGAGACCTCCTGCTGTGAAATGAGGCAACAGCACTGACTCAGCTGTGAAAATGTCTGAACCGTCTAAGTTTTCTGCATGCCTAGGTAGGGAAACCGTCTAACTAGTTGATAGAATATTAGAGTCCGCACTACCCCAGCTACGAAGATCACCACGATTTGCTGATCAAATGACGAGAGCACCGCTAGCACAAATCTCCTCCAGGGCTACTTCCCAAGATTTTTGATAGGACAATGCCACTGCAATAGCACAAGCCAGAAGAACCTCCGCTCGCCTCTCTCCCCCCTGCAAACTCAGCGCGATGCCACACAGTGAGCGGACTCATAGCCACACGATCTAGAGGCGGGACGGCTTGATCAGCATGAGGAATCGTTCCACGAGGACTAGACGTCTTACGAAAAGCCAGTTCGACCACAGGTCACTGGGCCGGAAGCAGGAGTCTTTGGGTGAAAGCCTGTGGCCTGGGTGATGTAGGTCGGGGAGTTTTCAAACTTTTTTCTCGTGGCCCAGGTGAAGAAAATTGTTGATGTCCATGATCCATTAGAATGTGAATGGGGTGCAGGCTCCGTGGTGGGGCTGAGGATGGGAGTTGGAGGGGGCTCCAGCTTTGGGGGCGCCAGGGCTAGGGCAGGAGGGGCTTCCCTTGAGTGGCTCCCGGTCAGCAGGGAAGGCTGGGGGCTAAGGCAGCTTCCTGCCTCTCCTGGCCTCGCAGACCAGGCTGCCCCCAGAAGCAGCCGGCAGCAGGATCCCAGCCAATGGGAGTGCGGCGCTAGTGCTCGGGGCAGGGGGACTGCGGGGAGCCCTGTGCGCTCTTCCCCCCCCACCCCCCGCCACACACATACCTAGGAGCCAGGCTTGCTCCTGGCCACTTCTGGGCGTAGCGCAGCCCCTGGTGCCAGAACAGGCAAGGAGCTGCCGTAACTCCCCCACTGCTCACCTGATCCCCCTGCAGCAACGAGCCGGCATCCCACCCCCCAGCCCTGGGGGCATGCCCCACCGTTTGAAAACCCCTGGTGTGGGGGATCAGGGCAGTTGGTCGCAGGGGGTTCTTGCAATTCTGTGAATTTGCGAACCTGCATAATCCAGTTGCCAGACCCCCAGCACTGATTGTGGGCAGAGTTCCCGTCCCACCCGTTCCAAAGGTGGTGAGCTTGCACGCAGGCCATAGCCCAGCCTGATCCCCCACAACGAAGCACAAGAAGCCCTGAAAAGTAATGCCGCCCCAGCCCAGCCATGGCGACAACGGCTGTGACAGCCAGCAGAGAGCAACTCTGGCGGCTAAATAGAAATAAAGGGTTTTGTTTTTGAACGATCCCTGTCTGAACAGCCCCTTTCGAAACAACCGCATCTGCCACGATGCAGATGAAGTGCGGGAAATTTAAATCCCAGCTTCATTTGCAATGTCGAAGTGTCTAATTTACATCCCTTTTTCGAGAAAAGGGATGTAGTTTAGACATAGCCTAAGGTGCCTCAAGACGCCTCGTTATTATCTATATAGTGTGGCAGGGCGTTGCCCTGCATTAGCCCTTTAAGGGGCTGAGACCTGGAGTCAGGGAGAGGCAAATAAGGAGGACCCAGCTGGAGACTAAGAGCAGCTCCTGCGAGGAGGAGAGAGACCTGCCTGTCTGCCTGCAATGAATGAGGCTTTGTCCTAGCAAACCCAGGCTACTCGGCCTGAGGCCCAGGGCGGCAAGGAGGCAGTCATGGAGGGCGGGGCTTGCATGGAGGCAGCCCTAAAGGCTGGGCTGCAAGGAGGCAGCCGCGGTTCTGCAAGGAGGCAGCTGCGGTAGGCTGGGAGAGTTTGAGCCAGGGAAGCCCCAGGCCATAAGTCCGCAGGGCAGGGTTGCAGGAGGCAACTGGGCAGGCAAAGTGGGAGAAGAGCCGGGGCCATGCCTCCTAGAACCCTGTTGTGCATCTCATTTCATCCAGTGTACATCAGTGCCAATGTCTGACGCTTGACACTTCAGGTGACCCTGGGTGACAGACCCAGACCAGCTGGTTGCTGCACTCTAATGGAGGGCAGGTATGCAGGGCACTGGATGAATAGCTTTCTCTTCCCTGACTAAGCACCTAGTGACGGCTGCCACAAAATGAAGTCAAGCAGACCCCCGGTGCTAGTTAATGACTTGCCTGAAGGAGCAGGCTAATCAAACACCTGCAGCCAATTAAAGCCTGTGGGTCTGCTTTAGAAATTTCCCCCAGGTAAGGGAGGGGGAAGACAAAGAGTGATGGGCTGGAAGGAGGAAGTGAGGTACAGAAAAGGGGTATGTGTGTGTGCATGTGTGTGTGGAGGAAGGGATGTGCGTGTGCATGTGTATGTGGAGGAAGATGTGTATGTGTAGAGGAGGGGATGTGCGTGTGCATATGTGTGTGGAGGAAGGTGTGTGTGTGTCAAGGAGGGGGTGTGCGTGTGCGTGTGTGTGTGTGTGTGTGTGTGTGTGTGTGTGTGAAGAGCTGCCAGCTTGTAAGTAAAATAAGGAGTGTGTGTTGTTGCTGCCTTAGGCTACATCTACATGATGGAGCTATTTCAGGATACCGGAAGTATCCCGAAATTGCTATTCCGTGTCTTTTGGGCAAGCCTGTCATTTCAAAATCTAATGGGCTTGCTATTCCAACATCCCTGTAAACCTCATTCCATGAGGATTAAAGGACGTTTCGAAATAGCGCTGTTTCAAAATAAGCTTATTTTGAAATTAACTCGAAATAAGCTACGCAATTTGCATAGCTCAAATTGTGTAGCTTATTTCGAGATAAGGGTGTAGTGTAGACACACCCTTAGGGTCCTGGGGCCAGAACCCAGAGTAGCGGGTGGGCCCGGGTTCCCCCAAACCTCCCCCATGCCAACTCAGAGACCGCCCCTGAGAAGGGAGACCAGGACTACAGAGAGGTTCTCACCGCGAAACCATGAACTAGCGTGTGATGAGTCTAGCGCAGCGAGCTCTGGTCCCTGCCTCTTGTAAACAGAAAGGGGCCGTGTGGAGGGCCAC